TTTTTTTTTTAAAATATATTTTATTGATTTTTTACAGAGAGGAAGGGAGACAGACAGAGAGTCAGAAACATCGATGAGAGAGAAACATCGATCAGCTGCCTCCTGCACATCTCCCACTGGGGATGTGCCCACAACCCAGGCACATGCCCTTGACCGGAATCGAACCTGGGACCTTTCAGTCCGCAGGCCGACGCTCCATCCACCTGAGCCAAACGGTTTCGGCCCGATGCGTTGAGATTATGCTTCCCAGCAATTGTCGACAGTTTGGCTCAAATAAACTCACAAACATTCTTTACAGGTTTGAATGTTTTTACATTAACGGAGGTGTAGGAATTGGCCCAAAATCTGGTGTCCACAGGCAGCAGAAGCCAGCTATTCCTGAATATCCCTGAAGCTGTCATTACAGTATGGGACCTGGAGAGCCACTATGGCCTGTTTTGTTTGGGGAGCCAGGGTCTGGACTCCTGGGGTAAGTAAATACCCTAAGGCCGTGGTCGGCAAACCTCGGCTCTCGAGCCACATGCGGCTCTTTGGCTCTTCCGAAAAATACCATGTGCGGGCGCACACTTACAGTGCGATTGAAACTTCGTGGCCCATGCGCATAAATCTGTATTTTGTGGAAGAGCCGGTATTTTGTGGAAGAGCCACACTCAAGGGGCCAAAGAGCCGCATGTGGCTCACGAGCCGCCTAGCAGCTTCAGGGATTTTTGTTTGTTTTAATGCCAGTGTTCCCCCTTCACATTGAGGTGAGGCAGTTGCTACTGCTGTTCCCACAACCTGCACAGGCCTTGGCGGGGTGTTAATTCCCCTATTGTTCTGAGGGCCATACCACCCGCAACCACTCTCCAGCCTCCAGGAGGAGGACTTAGGGTGTTTAAGGGCTCATTTTTTCCCTTCAATTACCTTAGTCTTGTTTACATTTCTTTTTTTTCTTTTAATCCTCACCCAAGGAGGGAGGATATTTTTTCCATTGATTTTTTTTTTTTAGAGAGTGTGGAAGGGGCGGGGGCGGAGAGAAGCAGCTCTATGAGAAAGACACATCAATTGGTTGCCTCCTGCTTGTGCCCCACTGGACCTGGGGATTGAACCTGCAACCAAGGTCCGTGACCTTGACCGGGAACTGAACCCCCGTCCCCCCCACTCCCACACACACTTTAACCACGAGTAAAACCTGCCAGGCCTTGTTTATATTTCTAATGACCAAGTAGGAAGACTTGTTGAGACTGTCCATGAAATCTGTGAGTGAGCTGTAGAAACAAAGAAAATCTTGACCACAAGATAAGGAATTGCAAATATAGTGTCCCACAGAGTGGTTTCAACAGGAGAAAGAGAAATCCAGTGATAGGAGATTTGGCATGGCATGACACAAATGACGTTGTTAAAACTGGTGTAATAAATGACCAGGATTTATATAATACTAGAGGCCCGGTGCATGAATTTGGGGTCACTTGTACCCTAGACCAGAATCGAACCAGGACCCTTCAGTACCCAGGCCGACGCTCTATCCACTGAGCCAAACTGGCTACAGCTGATGAGGCAAGTTTTGATGAAGGATTTACTCCACAGCTGATAGGTAGGTTTCCCCCACACCAATGATGAGAAGTGACAAAAAAGATGAATCAGAGCCTGGCCATCATGGTTCAGTGGTTGAGCATTGACCCACTAATCAAGAGTTTGCTGGTTTGATTCCCAGTCAGGGTACATGCCTGGGTTTCGGGCTTGATCCCCAGGAGGGGGTGTGCAGGAGGCAGCTGATGGATGCTCTCATCA